TCTGATCTACCTCAGTATAGGTGTCAGTTGACTGGTGTTTCTCACTCAAGTTTGAGATTTCTTGGCTATTGGGATGATGGATGATTTTTTATTGTATCATGGACATTTTATATGTTTTGTTAGGAGACATTGGTTCTATTTACATCTTTTATTTTTGCAGGCAGTTACCTTGTTTAGATTTATCATGCTGGTCCTGGCCTACTTGCATGGGCTGTGATTTCAAAGACAACTTAAATTTTAGAGCCTTTGTGGCATTATTTTGGCTTATGCTCCTTTAGTGCTATATTTGGATGGGAAGAGTTTCCTCTAGCTGGGCTGCCAGGTGCTTCACTCTAGCGGAAGTCATCTTGGGCCCAAAGGCTGTTGGTGTTTTATTGGCTGAATTCCCCTCCTCTAGGGAAGAGAGAGTACTACCTGGACCAGGCGCTTATTGTGGGATTCTCTCTGTCAGTGCCTCTGCCTCCTGTGTCAAGGCAGGAAATGAAAGTATTTGTTTTGTGGAGGCAAAGAGGTTTTTCAGGCCAGACAGCTCAGAGATAGGACCCTGGAAAACCCACATAATTTTAATAATTAAAACAAACAAACCTCTATTGAATTTATATGTTACATTAAATATTTCTCATTGTTAAGCTTACTTTAAAATTAGAATTTCCACCCTATCTGATTTGGCTAAGTGGGTAGAGCAACAACCTGCAGACTGAAGAGTCCCAGGTTCAATTCTGGCCAAGGGCCATGTGCCCAGGTTGCAGGCTCAATTCCCACAGTTTGGGGCTTGCGGGAGGCAGCTGATCAACGATTCTCTCCCATCATTGATGTTTCTATCTCTCCCCCTCTCCCTTCCTCTCTGAAATCAATAAAAAATATCGTTTAAAAAATTTGGAATTTGCCAATTGCTTCTTTTCTTTATTTAAGTAGGTACAGGTGATATTACCTTTGAAATTTAAACAAATTTCTTCCTACATTTAATGGGTTTAGTCTCTGTAGTATTTTCTAATCCAACTATGGAAGCCACAAGATTTTCTGTAACAGAATACAAATAAACTTGACATATCCTAAAACCTTGAGTGGAAAATGTTGCCATGACAACCATATTTTTAAATTGTATTTAAAACTACCCTTGTTAATAAATGAACTACACTCCCAATAGAGATTGGGACTTGTACTATTATGTCCAATGTCATAGAGAACAGGTTGAAGTTCTGGGAAGTGAGCAAGCTGGAATCAATCTTATTGCTATAGAGATGGTTGGGAGGAGTCGTGTTACTGAAGATGCGTGGTGCGCTCTCGGCAGCATTCCCATATTTCCCAGTCTGAGTTACCTCAAGCCCATATGTTCTTAGCTCAAGGTGATTCAGATCTCACAATTGCTTCATTGACCTTCCAATTCTATAATTCAATGAAAACATCATTTTGGAATCTATTTTATATTAGATACTAGGGAATCTATTTTATATAAGATTCCCTCAGCCCGACCTGCACCCTCTCCAATCTGGGAGCCCTCAGGGGAGCCCTCTCCAATCCGGGAGTTTCTGTCTGTCTTTGTAATCATATGAGCGAATTGTCTGAGACTCCCAACCCAGTTTGGTTTGTTGCTCACATAATAATAGAGGCATTGTTGTTGTTTTTTGCTTCATTGGTGGAGGTTTCCTGGAAGTTTTAGGATATCTTCCCTTTAATTTTTCTTAGACACTCTGATTTTACTTAGGTCTCTCACCTTTGCTTTCCCTCCATCCCCCACCACAACAGTAACTTGCTCCAGGCTCACTTTGATCTAGTGTCTAGAACAGCCGTCCTCACCTGTGGGTCACGACCCCTTTGGCAGTCAAACCAGGTCCTGGGGCTGCCACCAGAACTACTGTTCCCAGAATTCCTGGTGCTCCCCACGCTCTTGGTTTTCCCTTCCTTCTCTGTCTCCGTCCCACAGCCTCCTACTCTGCCAAGTCCTCCAAGCTGCCAGCTCTCGCTGTCTGCTCTCCGTCTGGTGGCTTGGGGAGCCAAGTTCCCCAAGCCACTCCACTCTCTGCCAGCTTTCCTGCTCTGCTCTCCGCCCGGTGCCTGTTTATGCAAAGTAACCCACCATATTTGTCAAGTTAATTTGCATAATCATGCCTGATTGGCTGGTGAGTGTAGCAGAGGGATGGTCAATTTACATGTTTCTCTTTTATTATGTAGGATACTAGTCATAGACCAAATGAGACTTTACATATATGAAATTCTTCAACTTTAGGATAGTTCTACAATTTGGCATGAATTGGCTTTCATAGCACTCAATGTATCATAGAGTAATATCATAGATTAACACATTTCGTACCGCTCAGGAGTTTTCTTGTGTTTCGCGCGCCATCTGTTAAGGACCGCTCACGAGTGTTCTCGTTTTTTCATGCCCATGGAAAAAGGAGTGAATCTAGATACTTATGTAAATTTTGTTTGGTCCCTCTTCATAGAGGAAAATGTTTTATGCAGTACCATACGTTAAAAAAGTACTAGGAACTTTAATTGTTTAATTGTTTTTGTAAATAAAAATGTTATAATTATTGAAAAACAACACCTAAAGTGCATTATGATGGTTTAAATAACGTGCAGTTTGCCCAAAAACATGCGGTCCCTGGCGTATGTCTTAGAGATTTCCATGCGGTACACAATATGCTAATATCTAAGAAAAAAATGCATGTCCTTGAGTATGCTCCAATTTCAGTTGAAGGACTCTGGAAACCTTAAAGAATTTTAAAAAATTGTATGGTTATAGATGTTTATTCAGATTATAGATGTTTATTCAGCTTATATGCATGCATTTGATCCTTCTTTTTAGTTACCTGAGATGACTTACATTTGTATATAATTTAGACTCAGAAAATTATTTACTCCATTTTATTTTAAACGCCATGTTCTTTGACTGGTCTCTCCAGCTCAGTAAAAGCTAAGCACTGTCACAGGAGACAAAGATTGAGGTTCTTATCCCAGCTCTCACTTAAGTACTTCTGTGACCATGGAAAAGAGTTGTGCAAAAGCTCTGCTGTTGTATGTATCCCTAGTTTATTGCTTAATGGTAATTAATTGTCTGAATACACAAAAATTTGTCAGTTCTGGTTTTGCTGGACATTGGAATCTTTTCTAGTTTTTGGCTATTATAAATAGAGCTGCCACAAACATTTTTGATGTCCCTTTGTGAATACATATTTTCATTTCTCTTGGTTTTATATCTAGGAATATAATTTCTGAATCATAAAGTAGATATAAATTGTCTCTCAGAATGACTTGTACCATTTTACATACTAACTGTATAAGGACTCCACTTTTTCTGTATTCTTGCAATCTTGTGGCATTGTTAATCTTTTTAATTTTAATATTCTAATATGTATGGAATAGCATCTAATTGTTATTTGTATTTGTATGTCACTGAAGACTAATGATGATGTTAAAAATATTTTGATATGCTTATTATCTATTTTCTTAAAATTTTTTACCCAATTTTTTCTCCTTTTTAAAAAAATTTCATTGTTGAAAGTATTATGTAAGTCTCCTTTTCCTCCCATTGACCTATTCCCAGCCGTTCCCACCCCCTAGCACATACACTCACCCCCTACTATCTGTGTCCATGGGTTATGCTTATATGCATGCATACAAGTTTGGTTGCTCTCTTAAAACGCCCCCAACCCCAATTTCTTAAAGTTGGGTTGTTGTTATCTTGTAAGTTCTCTATATGTTGTACATGCAAATCACTGTTCTCTCAGATTATAGTTCACCTTTTCATTTTTAAAAAAGCGATGCCCTTGAAGAACTAGTGTCTCTAATTTTTATGAATTCCAATTATTTGTTTATTTTATAGTTATTGCTTTTTGTGTCTATCAAAGTCTTTGCCTACTCACATAGTTGTGAAGATATTCTTCTGTTTTCTTTCAGGTCCTTTAGAGCTTTAATTTTGTATTTAGATTGAAAGACTGTACATATAAATTGTTGTTTTTTGAAGGCAGTTGATCTAACAGAGGGTGATGTTTGAATGTTTGTCATATGGTGTTTCTGAGGGTAAAATACTTCAAATGGCTGTCCAGGACATTTCAACCCATAGTTAGGGTGGCTTTTTACTTCAAGATGTCTATTTACTTATTACAACTCATTCTATAGATCATAATTACATTTCAACATGTGTAATGGGGAATACTACATTTTAACATTAATTAAAAACAAATCCTGAATAAAATATATCACTCCGGGATTTTTTCCTTCTCTGACTCTTCCCCTGCATAACCCAATTTGTCCGTCCCTCCCTTTCTTCCTCCCTCCCCCTTCCTTTCCCTTGCTTCCTTTCCTTTTCCTTTTTTTTTTTTTTTAAATCCGTATGCCTTTGTAACACGATGGCCTTATATGGTTTAATATATGAGATTTTTTAGATGATAAACTGTTCCCTAAGCAGTAATTTGTTCTTGAGATTGGATAATGGGTTGCATCACTGGTCTTATGTACCCTAGTTTCGTTTATTACACTATAGGAAATTACTTAGGCAAGATATGGGACTACATGCAGTGTCATTAACAGCTATAACTCATGCCAGTTTATATGTGGAAAAATTAGCTCTTAGTAATGTGGTTTGGGTACAAAAAGAATTCTCTATGATCAAGAGAGAATTGGAAATTTTGCATTATAAAATGAAATTCTCTCATGTACTTAGGACACAGCTCTTTTGAAATGACAAATAATAACATAGTCTAAGCTTTATGGGGGGAGAAAAGTGCATGCTATGTTCTAGTTACAGGGACACCCTCATTTGGACAGTGAAGATTTCTGATAGAAGTTTGCTATAATGTAGATTTTAAAATCCTATTGTGTAGTAACATATCTTAGATCTGTTTCCTAGCCTCCTGATGTTACAACTTCTTAGTGTGCTGTAGATTTAATGGTTTGAAAGAAGTATCCCCTTCAGTCTGTTTTCCAATACCTCAATGCATCTTATAGGAAATGTACTCTTACTTGGGCTAAAAAACTGTTTTTTTTCTTTGCCATAGGATAAGAAATGGATTCTCAATCATGAAGATGTCACATTGGGTGAATTACTGGGCAAGGTACGTAATCAAGTGAAGTAAATACCTGGCAGTCTTTATAGTGATTGCGAACTCTGTAGAGTCTTTATTTTCCTCCAACCCTTCTTATGTTCCGGCACACAACAAGACACCTTCCACATTAACCTGGAAGAGCACAGTACCACAGACCATCTGGATGGTCACTGAAATAGATGTGTGAAAACCTTTGAGAGGTTTAAAGATGATTTTTGACTTAAAAACTATCATGTGTAACCAGAAAATGTAAAATACTAGTACTGCTCTTTGGGATTTCAAAACTCTGTATAGAATCACAGTATATAACAACATTGGACATGTTATTTTACCTAAATATTATATGAACAAGACACATATTTCAGTATAAATATTCATTTGTAGCTAGCTCTATTAATGGTTAGAAGTCTAGTTGGAAGTTTCTTTCAATTCATAGGCCATTTGAAAGTATTATATCTAACAATAATGGCAAACTTTTGATAATCAAATGGACTACTTGCCAATTTATTGTTTATTTATAATTGAGTTCCAATGGTAAATGTAAACTTCTTTGTCAATGGCTTAATTAGTGATGTTTCCATTAACTATTTTGAATTTAGTTTCATAATGCAATGTGAAAAAATAAAGTAAAATCAAGATATTTTGTGAAAACTATCACTGATACATTTCTGAGTTATCAGTATTAGACTTAAAGTTCAGCATGTTAAGTGAAAAATGATTATTCATTACTTTTTTGTTTTAAATGTAAACATGATGAATTGACAGAATGTTTCCTATTTTTTCAACTGTTACATATTTTAAGAAAATAAGTCCCCGTTGAAGTGATCTATTTCACAGGATTTTTATTAGTATTTTAAAATATCTTTTCAAAATGGAAGCTTGAAATTACTCCTGGCTAGCAGTTTTTGTTGACTGCGAATACTTATTTAGGCAATAATTTCTAAAGCATTTCAAGCTAAAAGCATTAGGTGATGTGTTTGTTTCCTCTGTTATATCCTTGTCATTCTTAAGGAAATATTTCTTCTTTCTGTTACTTTAGGTCATTAACTCAGTAGTACTGATTGGGCCAAAAATTATTACAAAGAAATTAAATAAATTTCCATGAAAATATAATTAAATAATAAATCATCCAATTAAATCACTTACTGAAATATGTGTTGAAGGGGACAGATTATTTTTAGTACTTGGGAAAAAACAAAAATATTTCAATTATTTTTATATTTAGTTGAATATGTGAAATAATAGTGTATCAGGAGGAATTTTAGCCTCTATTTTCTTTGTAAGGGTATTTCAAAGAATAGTTATTTTTCCCAATGACAAGGCAGTAGCATGATGTCAATTTCAAAAACATTTAATCATTTTAATAAAAGACTGCAACTTTAATGATAATGGTCTAGCTTCATTTCAGCTAATATTTTAAATAGAACATGATTTGTCATTTAATATTTTCACTGCCAATTCTGAATAAATACTTTTAATGTATTGTATATTAGTGGTAAAATGTGGTTGAGACAAGAATTCTAATTTTTTGAGTACTATACTCTTACTAGACAGTTCTTGATGTATAGTTGGTGTTCAATAAATATTTACTCAATCCTCAGTGAACAATGCCCTTTTGGAGCTTTTATTCTGTCTAGCAGGGGAAGGCTGATAAACAATAAAAATAATAAATAGTAAATTTTATAATGTTAAAGGGTGATGAGTCCTATGGAAAATACTGGGAGTTTAGGAGTGCTTTAAGTAGAAGTTGCCATTTTTAATAAGGAAATTCGGGTAAGTCTGATTAAAATTGTTACTTTCAAATTAAAACTTGGAGAGAAGGGATTTAGCCATGTGGACATCTAAGGAAGAGGGTTTAGACAGAGAGAGTAACCAGTGCAAATTTCATTTGAAGAACAAGGGAGATCATTTGGCTGTAACTGAGTAAACAAGGAGGAATATGATAGGACAAGAAGTCAGTGAGCTGGTGAGGGTATAGGTCATGTAGTGCCTTGTAGGCATGCTAGTTTGCAGCTGGGAATGATCTAGTGACAAATTTATGATTTGGGAGGGAGAGATGAGAATTGGTAGAGTAATGTCATTGAGTAGATAAGAGTAAATTTAATTTACAATGGAGAATTGACTTCAATAAGAACACAATAGTTCATTTTTATAACAGCAAGGAAGATTGGTAGGTGGGTAGGGTAAATCTGGGGCGGAGAGCCTGAAAGTTCTCTTTACTAGTAGATTGCTTCAGTTTTCTCAGTGTACTAACAAGCAAGATTATCAGCTAAGAATAAGGATGGTGGAGGAATAGTAGGGGGCTTAAGAAGAGAGTAGAAGAGCAAAGCCATTATTTAGAAGAATGAGAGTGTGAATTTTCTACAGAATTGTAATATAATTATTGAGCAGCATTAAGGAGGTTTGTGTTCATGAATTTTTTAAAAAAGAATTCTTTAATGTTGAAAGAATGGTGTTCATGAATTTAAAGTGAATCCAGTCAGCATGGTGGCGGGCTTTCTTCAGTCCCATTTGGCTGCCTAAGTGCAGAGTTAGTAACGTTGCATTTAATTTGGGTTGTGGATTTGACAAGGGAGTTGTACAGATTAAGACGAACAAAATGTTGGCAATGTATGGTAAGCAGTTGTAATTATTATTGACCATGGAATTTAAGCTGAATAAAGAAGGAAGAAAGGATATTAAGGGGGTGATGGACAATGAATAATAGAACCTCTAAATCTTTAGATTCTTACAGGGTGAAAGGATTTTTGTGGTCTAGATAATAGAGGAAGTAAGTTAGAAAAATAGAAGCCAGCCAGAAAACAGGATGAATGACATAGATATTATAGAGGAGTTGCATTATTGGCAATGGCAAAGTTTAAGGTATTATCCTAGAAATAGTTCAAAATAGAAGATCATTGAAAGAGAGATGTTAAAAAAACAATAAAACAAAGTTTAGTTTGAACTGTTGTACAGATTTTTAGGTGTCTATTGAAATTGCCAAGGATTAAAACGAGAATAACACAGGGTATAGTGACCAGGAGCTCAAATTGTCTGTAAATGAAGCAGAATCTTTTCAAATTCAATAGCTTATAGCCATAGTAAGGGACAGTTGTTCAGTTGGTATAAAGCTTCAGAGCCAGGCGTTTTTTTTTTTGTTTGTTTTGTTTTGTTGTTTGTTTGAATTTTGTTTTTAGGAATGTAGGAGGAAAAATGGTTTGAAAATATTAACAAGGAACTACTAAATACTTTATCCCAAATCTGGGCAGAGGGAGAAGGCTTGAATGGGAGAGTCATGACTTAAGTTTAGAAGACAAAAGGAAAATAATCTACCATTTGCATATTTTCAAGTGAGAACAAAATTTCTATTGGAACAAGAAGGTGAAGAGAATGACCAAAAAATGCGTGGAAGATAAAATTTTTTTAATGATGAACCATGGATTCCGGAAGGCACAGTAAAAGTTGGGGATAGAAGGGGAAAATTTTGATATAGACGGTTGAATAGGAGTCTACAGAATCTAATGAAGACTAAGAAGGAGGAGATGAGGATTAACCTAGGACCAAGATCTTATGAGGAATGGCATGAAAATAGATAACAGACATAATATTTAGCCTAATGGACTTAAAGTCAGTAGCAGAGATGAAGTTGTGCCTGTCAAATGAACTTAAAAATTAGTTAGCGTTTTTCTGATTGGAGTTGGGGGATGGTTTCCATGAAGGATAAAAATGTAGAAAAGGCATGGCACATATTTGGGGATCACTAAGTGCTTGAGTTTAGGACATGTGTAACAGGGTCTATATTGTGGAGCTAGACAGAGGCTGAGATGGTGATGGTAATTCAAGGATGAATTTTGACTAAGGAAGTAAGTTGTCTCTTAGAAAGAATAATCTGGCAGTGCTGTGGTGGATGAATTGAAGGAGTGAGTGACTGACAGATCAGTTTAGGTGATAAACTTAAGATTTTGAATCAGGGTGACCTTTCTGAGATGTAAGGCAGAAGACACAAATATTGCAGAGGTAGAATCTGAATGTTTGCAGAGAGAATTAATGATGGTCCTAGTAAATGAAAAAGGTAATTTAGTTAAGAAAAGTCTAATGAGTAAAACATTAAGTTTTAAACAAGTTAAATTATAAGTGCTTCAGAATCATTCAGATAAGTAGAGGCCCAGCAGTAATTGTGCATATTAATATCTTCTCTCAGCTCTATCTATGATATATTAATGATCTGATAATGGGGGAACCTTGAGAATAACAAACATGGAAGGATATAAAAGCTCACATTTTTCTTTTTCTAACTTATGATAAATGTGTATTATGTTGAATTTATAATCAATCATTGCTTTTAAATATTTAAGAGTTAAATATTAGATTCAACAACAATTTATTATCTTAATATTCAAGTGTATTAAAGTTTAAGTAAACTAATTTTAAAATTAAGTAAAATATTAAGTAATACTTAAAATGTTCAAAAGTATTTTATTTTTTAATAATGTTAAATTATTTATTAGTAACATGTAAAAAGTATATACCTTGAACTATTGGTTAAGAGTCATATGGACCTTAGAACTCAGAAAACTCAATAATGAGTAGACTCCTACTTCAGCTACTTCTTGCTCAACAAGAATAATATTGAAGCTTATTATAATATAAGTAGATGGCTGGTGCACGAAATTTATGTACTGCAGGGGGTGTCCCTCAGCCCAACCTGCACCTTCTTGCAGTCTGGGACCCCTTGAGGGATGTCCAAGTGCTGGTTTAGGCCCAGTCCCCCTAGGGTCGTTCCGCCAGTCATCCAACATTCAGTTGATTTGCATATTAGTGTTTTCTTATATAGGATGCTTGCATCTTATTCTTATTCTTATTCTTATTCTTATTCTTATTCTTATTATCCTATATAATAAAGAGCTAATATGCAAATGGTCATCACACCCTCACACCATCATGCCGTCAGGCTCAGATGCTCAACACTGGGGAGAGAGGAATGGGGACCATCCAGGCACAAATGAGCTCATGAGAGAGGAATGTGGACCAGCTAGGCTGCAGCCCAGGAGAGGATCAAGCCGCATGCCCCACAGTCTGGGGCACCAGTGGCTGCTCCTGCGACCCAGGAGAGAGACAAGCCACACGCCCCACTGTCCTGGGCACCAGTGCCTGCAGCTGTGGCCCAGGAAAGGGACAAGATGCCCATCCCACAGTCCTGGGCACCTGCAGCTGTGGCCCAGATGAAGCTGTCCACCCACGATCCCTTGCAGCTGTGGCCGGCCCGGGCGAAGCCAGCCCGGGTCCTGGATGCCCGCAGGCAGTCAGGGGGAGGGAAGCCTGGGCCCTGGGTGTCTGTAACTGGCCAGAGGAGGGAATCCTGGGTCCTGCGTGCGGGGCGAGGCAGAGGTGGTTAGGGGTGATCGGGCCAGCAGGGGAGCAGTTAGGGGTGATCAGGCCAGTAGGGAAGCAGTTAGTGGAGATCAGGCAGGCAGGCAGAGGGGGTTAGGGGTGATCAGGCAGGCAGATGAGTAGTTAGGAGTCAGCGGTCCCGGATTGTGAGAGGCAGTCGGACATCCCCCAAGGGGTCCCAGATTGGAGAGGATGAAGGTCGGACTGAAGGACCCCTCCCCATGCATGAATTTTGTGCACCGGGCCTCTAGTAGCTTTATAAAAACATATAAGCATATGTAGAAAAACTTTAAGAGAACACTAAAAAATAATTATTGTATTAGCCTTATAGGTCTTCTCTGTAATGTTTTGTGCTTATAATAAAAGAAAAATGACTTCAAACTGGAAATTAGGCACCTTAAGTCAAAATACGTTTTTGCCATAGAATAAGGTTAGGTGTTCATACATTTGATAGAAAATGAATTCATCACCAGTGACGTGGGCATTTGGATAAGAACCTCTTCTTCCTTGGTACCTTCCAGAGACTGACAGCCTACAACAGTGGCTGACAGTCCTTCGTCTTCCTAGTTCTGTTGTCTCTGCCCTAGTCTCTTACTCTCACTCTTCTCCAACTGGCATATAGCTGTGTGGCTCAACACCAACAGTCACCTTGCAAAATCTCTGCTTTATCTTCAAACATTAATGGGTAATTTTTTAAATTTAATAAATTGCAGATAAAGGAAACTGGATGTAATGAAACTCAGATATTTTGACAATGTGAAATTTGAGTTTTTCCTTTTGTCCTATTTTCTTAAATTTTTTCCCTATTTTCATTTTCAGTTGTCCCCAAATATTTGGTGTATTGAGTAGCATATTTAAACTTGAGAGCATTCGTAAGAGCAACATTCCCAATCTTGATTTCCACTTCAAACTCTGAATAATGCTGAATGCTTTAATTAAAAATGTACCTTTACATGCTTTTTTTGTATTTTGTGAAGATTCATGTGGCTGTCTTACCCCTCAAACAATGAGTGTATTTGTATTTTCAGGGAAATTTTGGTGAAGTATATAAAGGCATATTAAAGGATAAAACTGCTGTTGCTGTTAAAACATGTAAAGAAGATCTTCCTCAGGAACTGAAAATAAAATTTTTACAAGAAGCCAAGTGAGTTCTTTAAAATTATGTCAAGTGTGTATTTATAATATAAATGACTCACTAAAATGTAACTTTGAAGATATCATAAATTATAATTTGCTAAAGTGGAAATAAGCATTTTCAGAGCCCTCGTCCAAAAGTAAGCACTTATACAATGTGGAATCAGAAGGTTTCTGTTTTTGAGTGAGACTATAGGTCAGTTAGGTAAGCACAGTGAAAAGAACCAGGTGCTAAAAAACAGTGAGTATTCTTCAAGTCTTTGAAAAAAAATTGCAGTATTTTTAGCTTTTATCACACATACATATACATACATATGTATATATGCAAAGTTGTGATTTTCCTTATAATAAAAATATTACTATATTCTACATATAAAATATATAGTTTACATAAATATTTAGATATATAACTTCATCTCCCCTATCTTACTTAGATATTATCACTTAATTCTTTTTTTCCATTTGTTAGTTTTCTTTTCTAAGAACCTCATATGCCTTCTTTAATTTAGTGTCTGGCATTTGTTCTGGAATTTGCATATTGTTTCTTTTCTAATTGATCTTTTTAGATGACTGTCATTTTCCTATTTTTAGCTAAAATTTAATGTTCCAATTTGCTACCTCTGTATTGCAGATAGTTAAAACCATTCAGTTAATTGTAACATCTAGTTTATACAATGAAGCACAAAACAAATTGAAAGGTTTTTTGGACAGAGTGAGGATAGACATATGTTTGGAAGATGGATGGATGAATGGGAGAGGAGAAAAATAGATGGATCTATAGATTGTTGGTGTGAAGCAGGGGTGGGGAACCTTTTTTCTGCAAACAGCTATTTGGATATTTATAACGTTATTCGCGGGCCACACAAAGTTATCAACTTAAAAATTAGCCTGCTTTATTTGATTAAACATTTAATTAACTCACCCCTACTGCCTTGGCAGTACCAGACCAAATGATTTCGAGGGCCTGACATTCCTCACCCCTGGTGTAACGGGAAAGAGGGAGGTGTGAGTGTATTGGGGGTATGTGTGTCTCCATCATGATCTAGTGTATAAAATTTAAGTTTTTGTAAAGTGTCATGGAGAACAGAGGATATGGCAATGAGGGAACATGGCAGTGAGTGAACTAAGTCCCATGGCATGGAGCATTTTCATGTACATTTCTCCATTTATCTGAAAATGAGTATTGACAGCAAAAGAGTAAACTGGTATGATGCATTTATTGAATATTATCTACAGAATAAAGTTGAAACCCCGTTTCAGGTGTATTTTTGGCAATTTAGAAAAAAATACTCTAATAAGTTCAAAGATTTTAAATTCATAGATTTATTATTTTATAGACTAGTGGCCCAGTGCACAAAATTCGTGCACAGAGGGGGGGTTTCCCTCAGCTCACCCTGCACCTTCTTTAATCGGACATCCCTCTCGCAATCTGGGACCACTGGTCCTAACCGCTCACCTGCCTACCTGCCTGCCTGCCTGATCACCCTTAACTTCTTTCCCCCTGCCGGCTGATCTTGCCTCCAACTGCCCTACCCTGCTGGCCAATTTGGTTCTGATTGGTCGGTTTCTATGCCAGTCAGTGTTTCTGGGCCTGATCAGCAGCCCCCATGGAGGCCCAGAGAGAAACAGAGGCGTGGCTGCTGGCAAAGCATGGAGAGAAAGAGGCAACAGCTGATCAATAGCTGCCATGGAGGCTGCGGATCAGACCCTGCCTCTTTCTCCAGGCCTCTCTCTTGGCCTGATCCACAGCCCCCTTGGCAGTCAGTGTTGGGTTGCTGCATGGCGACCCAGCACTGACTGCAGGACTGACTTCTGGTGTTCAGTCGAGCCTTTGGTCGGTTGTTATGGACCCTGGGTTGTTATATATTAGGACATCCATAGGTATAAATTATATCCAACATTTTCAAAAATCTTTAATTTTTTTCTTTTCTAATTTGTGATTGTTTTATTGAAAAATAGAGAGTTTAGCTTGCTTTTCTAAAATGAGATTGTTTTATTTTAATAATAAAAATTATAGCGCTGACTGGTTTGGCTCAGTGGATAGAATGTCAGCCTTTGGACTGAAGAGTCCTGGGTTCAATTCTGGTTGGAGGCTTGATCCCCAGTAGGGGGTTTGCAGGAGGCAGCTGATTAGTGTTTCTCATCTATGTTTCTAACTCTCTATTCCTCTTTCTTCCTCTCTGTAAAATCAATAATACATATTTAATAAATAAATAAATACATAAATAAAATTATATCCATGCAAAAACTTTTAAGTGTACTTTAATAGATGATAGAGCTCTATAGTTAGCTATTTAATATTATTGGAATTCAGGCTGCTGTTTTTTGGAATTTCTTTTCTAAGCAATTTCCAGCTTCAGAAATGACATTTTGAATTAAAGTCAAACATTTTAAAACTGTCTTCTTAATTCTTTGTAGAAGTTGCAAACTCAAAGTTATTGTCAGAATATTTCCCTTATTTCTAGAATTCTTTCAAGTTTATATTTTTCATTTATAAATCAATCTGTATTTTCAATATAAAAATAGTTGTACATGTATAAAATTTATATAAACTGTTTTATCTTTCTCCAAATAATGTTATTTTTCATTCTCTTAGGCAAGGAAACTGCATCTTTGAAATATAAGTGAGCTTATAACTATGTCAATAGAATAATGTGGAGTAAAATTTGGTAATAGAAATCACCAGGGTAGATAGGCCTCTGAGGGAATTGAATCTACTTTTAACTCGAGCTAGGAGTCTGTGCTATTTTATAACCCACTGAAATTTTGCCTTATCCAAACTAAGCCTTTTCTGCTTCAGCTTAACTTGATACTGAAACTCAGTTACTCAGTTATTATTTAACCTTTTAACAGCTTTCTCAAAACTTTTTAGTTCTTACTATTTTGAGATTGATTATGGTCAACAAGAAAGCTCTGATTATAAAATTTAATGAAGGGATTACCTGATGATGTTTATCAACATGAATTAGATTCTTATTTTTAAGTATTTTAAATCAAGTGTGTACATAGAACAAAACAAAAAGATGTTACCCTAGAAGCTTACAGTTCTGAGTTCACTCATGCTTTTCAGCTATGTTTTTGTGGTGGTGGGTGGCTAAGTCCAGATATTTGGAAGAGAGTTCTAAATGTTTTAGACTAAGTAAGTTATTCCTATTTAGCATGGTTGTTAGTCATTCAGAGTGAATAATAATTTTAAGTGAATAATTAATGGAATTAAGGATAATTGACTGATTTGTACCTATATTTTGCCAAGATTTATCAAAATTTGCATATATCCTATTACAATTTGGGTTCACACTGAAGTTTTAAAAAATGAGTTATATTGATTAAACTATATTCTACTTGTGTACATTACTTGCAATCATAGGTTAATGCATAATTATTTAAAATAATTATTCTTATTCTTTTCTCATCCAGAATTCTCAAGCAATACGATCATCCCAATATTGTCAAACTTATAGGAGTTTGCACACAGAGACAGCCGATCTACATCATTATGGAACTGATTCCAGGTAATAGCATTTTAGAGGTTTCCATGATGACATTTTATTTTAAATTATTTTGTTTTGTTTTATTTTCCATCACCATTTATCCCCCTATACCCTCTTCTACCTCCACCCACCCTCCTCCACTTCCGCAAACACCACACTGTTGTCCATGTCCAAGGAGTTCTTTCGTTTTTCTTTTCCCCTTTTTTTCTCAATCCTTCCACCCCCCTCAAACTCCCCTCCCCAATAGAGCTGTCTATGTGCTCTACTATGATTCTGTCTCTATTTTGCTTGTTAGTTCAGTTTGTTCATTAAATTCCACATATGAGTGAAATCATAAGGTCTTTGTCTTTCTCTGACTGGCTTATTTCACTTAGCATGTTCTCCAGTTCTGTCCATGTTGTCACAAAGGGTAAATTTTCTTCTTTTTTATGGCTGAGTAGTATTCCATTGTCTAAATGTACCATAGCTGTTTTATCCACTCATCTCTTGATGGACACTTGGGCTGCTTCCAAATCTTGGCTATCTATAATAATAAAAGCATAATATGCTAATTAGACTGGACAGCCAAACAAATGTCCGGACAAGCCGTGGCTAGGGCGGCCAAGGCAGAGATGATTAGGGGCCATAAGGCAGGCAGGTGAGCAGTTAGGGGCAATCAGGCAGGCAGGCTAGTGGTTAGGTGTGATTAGGCAGGTAGGTGAGTGGTTAGGGGTGATTAGGTAGGCAGGCAAGCGGTTAGGAGTCAGCAGTCTTGGGTTGCAAGAGGGATGTCCTACCTCCAGTTTAGGCCCAATTTGGGCCTCTAGTTGTAAATAATACTGCAATGAAAATAATGGTGTATATATTCTTTCTCGACTTAGTGTTTTGTGTTTCTTTGGGTAAATTCTCAGAAGTGGAATCACTGGGCCATAAGGCAGTTCCATTTTAATTTTTTGTAGTAAGTCCGTACTGTTTTCCACAGTGGCTGCACCCATCTGCATTCCGATAAACAGTGAACAAGGTTTTCCTTTTCTCCACATCTGTACCAACACTTGTTGTTTGTTTATTGATGATAGCTATTCTGACAGGTGTGGGGTGGTGTCTCATTGCGGTTTTAAATTGCATTTCTCTGATGATTAGTGACGTTGCACATCTTTTCATATGTCGATTGGCCACTGTATTTCCCCTTTGGAGAAGTATCTATTGAAGTCCTTTGAGCATTTTTTAATTGGATTATTTACTTTTTTGGTGTTGAGTTTTATAAGTTCTTTATAAAGTTTGAATATTAACCTCTTATCAGATGTATCATTGGCGAATATGTTCTCCCATTCAGTGGGTTGTCTTTCATTCTGTTGATGATTTCCTTTGCTGTGCAAAAACTTTTCAGTGTGATGTAGTCCCATTCAATGACATTTTAATGCCATGTTTTATTACTTCTATATGTTCAGTCTCTCTGATTTTAATATTTTCCTGATGACAAAGAGAATGTACACACACTCAATATTTTTATAATCTATAATACTTTGCTATTTTTTAGAAAATGTCAACCAACCTCTTAAAAGAGAAAATAAATTATTGCAGTGCAGTTACATATGGATTGTAGCTATGTATAATTTTATGTTTAGAAAAATAGTCTATTTTGTTTTATATTATAACAGTGAAATAATAGTATCTTATATATAGTACATTTATATCATTTTCCAAGTACATTAACACACATACTTTAGTTTGGATGTATATAATAATCCCATAGTGCTTTTGGTCACTTATGAACTATGAACTAGTTTATATGTGGACAAAGAAAAAAGTAATCTGTCTTGGAGCTTGTCTTTGTGTCTTGTGACTTTCAGCACCTCCAGGTTTTTTTGGTTAACAACTTTTGTCAACAAAGATAACTTCAAACTGACACAGTACATTTTTTATTTATTTTCATTGTAAATCTTCCTGTTGTGGAATATATAATTATATATTATATAATTTGATCTTTATGAGAGTTACCGTAATATGTAATAACTGCAAAGGATTTGCTTTGTTGCCTTTAATGACAACAAAGAGGAAACCTAAAAGAAATATAAAAAATATTTCTAATATGCTTTTTATATATGTATACTTTATTGTATTGACATGTTTACACCCTTAAAACCATCTCCACAACCAAAGTAATGGACATGTCAATCATCCCCAAATTTTTCTCATGCCTCCTTTTAGTTCCTTCCTCCTGACATTCTCGGTCATCCTCTCCAGTCGACCATCCTCTCCAGTCAACTACTGATTGCTTTTTGAAACTATATATGAATATTTCTTAGAATTTTACATGAATGGAATCATGCAGTCTAGTACCTGTTTGTGTTGTAACATCATTCCTTTTTATTGCTGAGTAAAATTAGAATACATGAATTTACCAGGGTTTATCCATTCAGCTGTTAATAGACTTTGGGGTTGTTTTCTGTTTGGGGCTACTACAAATGAAGCTAATGTAAACATCCATGCACAAGTCTTTGAATGGACATGTGCTCTCATATTTCTAGGGAAAGTGCATATTTTATTACTTAGAATATTACATTAAACTTTATTGCTGAGTATTTTAAGGCTTTGAAGTAGAATGAATGGATTATATGGAATGTGCATTTTTAAAACATAGCTGGTGCTAAGCTAGTTATATCTCACTTTCTAATATCATAAAAATTGGGACAAAATATTACATTAAAAAGTAATGGACTCATAATTTTATGACATTTTCAACTTAAGCCTTGGTAACAAATTCTTCCCATTCTCTACTTTTTTCTGTCAATATAGTCCTATGCACTCTTTTCCGTTCTCATTAATGTGAACACATCAGAATTTGTAAAGCTAAATAATCACAAAAGCATAAAGTTCCTTTTAAAATATATTTCCACTATGAGATAAAGAGCTCATAAGTATATGGTTATGAAAAACTCAGGAGGCATTTAACCCAGGTATGCAAGGCTGATTTTGAAGTTTAAATATCTATTAGTGTAATCCATCATATCAATAGGTTAAAAAAAGAAACAGCACATTATCATATCAATTGATACAGTAAAAGCATTTGACAAAATCTAACACCCATTCATCATAAAAGTAAATTTAAAAAGGCCCAACGGCCAGTCAGTCTTGCCTGAAAGCTTGACACCGCCACTTAATAAGTTGTGCAATCTTGGGCAACTTCCTTAAACTTGGTGTCTTAGATTCCTTACCTGTTAAGAAAGAATAATTAAGTTGTAAGGATGAACACACTGTGATTGTAGTAAATACACATTATATCAATAATAGACAGATAGATAGATATAGATATTTGAATAGACATCTGTCTCTTAGAGTGCTTGATACAAAACCATTTGTGTGTTCTCATAATCATCATTTTTATTTTATAAATAGAGGCCTATTGCACAAAGAGATTTGTATAATAGGCCTTCCTTTCCCCGGGCTGCTGGCACTGGTTTTCCTCCGGCCCCCAGGCCTTTGCTCTTGCTGGGCTCCAGCTGGAGCCGGCCCCGGGGCCGTGAGTCTTTCACTGCTCCACTGGCCCCAGGGTTGTCACTGCTCCGGCCCCCCAGCCGTCAGGCTTCACTCCACCACTTGGAGCCTACGTATGCAAATTAACTGCCATCTTTGTTAGGTTAATTTGCATACTCCCCTGATTGGCTGGTTAGTGTAGCGAAGGTATGGTCAATTTACATGTTTGTCTATTATTAGGTAAGGTTGGCTAAAAAGTAAGTTACTAAAATGCTATAATTTGACAAGAACTTTAACTCAAACTCTAAACTTGCCCCTGCCACTAACTCTAATCCTACCCCTTTATTATAATTCTATCTAAGAATGACCCACAAACAAATTGGGACATTTAAAATTTCTTTAGTTCTTCCCATTCTACCATCATTTGTGACTGTTTTGTTTGTATGTTGTAATATTTAGCCTTCATGGGTCTTTCTTTCCTTATATGTAGAACTAAAGTGGCTAGATTAGATTGCCTCTGAATTTTAGCTTATCCTATAATATTTTAGTTGTTAGGAAAATTTTTCTTAAATTTGAAACCTTTCATAACAAACTCTCAGACCACTCTAAAACAGTGTTTGTCCTTTTCTCTTTTTATAGTAGGCATGATGGGGAAATAACCAGATGGTTTTCATTCTTATAAAAGTAGCATAATAATATAAAACATTTTACAGTTACATAAAATTTTACAGTCGTCACAGCACTTTAACATTATGTCATTTGTCCTAGCAGGCAGTATTTTTATCCTCATTTACAAATAAGCTAAATGAAGTTTAGAGAGTTTAAAGTGACTTGTCAACATCAATTAAACAGCAAGTGGAAAATCGTGCTCTGTTTTCTACTGTCATTCAGTTTATAAGGGGGTCAAAACATATAATCCTTTTATGAATTGAAAATATAAATGAAAATTCAAGCCAATGTCTATGCAAGATACTCTATGGGCAAATACATGAATCCTTGTTCCGTAATTTCTCAACCTGGTGCACAGATAAGTAAGTAGCTATTGCACTAAAAAGAAAAATTTTTGTTTGAGTTACTTTTTTCTCTATGGGGATCAAGCTGTGGAGAGAAGATTTAGAAAACTTTAAAAGCAAAATTTAATAACTGCTTAGTGACTAATATGCAAGCCATTTCAAGAATGTATTATGCAAAGATTTAATATGCTGCTGTTCACGTCAGATAACTGAGCCCATTGAAATCATATCCGAAATATATTTTAACCACAGTAATGTTTGAAGAAATTATAAGCATTTGGGAATTCACATTTAGAGTGAATACTCCCAAGATAATCCTGTTTTCATTTGAATCATCTCTTGAATTACAAATACCTTATTTATTTACTTGTTTGCTATGAGTTGCTGCATAAGTAAAATCTAACAAAAGGCAATTCTAAGTGGAACTAGGGAATACTAAAACAAAAACAAACAAAAAAAACCCTCTAATATGCTGACGTATGACCCCATTTTATTTTACAAACAAGTTGTGTATTACTTAGGAATTCAAATGAAGGAAATGAGTTGTTTGTGACA